TAACTAAAATCAAACACAAATGTGTCATTTTTGATTATTAGTATGGTTAAATTGGATCATCGAAGGTCAGTAGCAAAGACGTCGGTTAATAAAATGTGATTAAATACATAAATTATATTTGTCTTAACATTTAATTATTGCAGGTTTGTATAATATTCTGAGTTTGCATTTGACTGATTTTATTCATTTTGAGGAATACTGAATCTGTTTTTGTGCAGGTGAGATGAGTAAACATGTTCATATTTAGTCTAGAACTACAGTAAGATCATGTTCACACACAACGCTCTGCACTTACTCCTGATTTCTCTCAACATGGCAACACCAGAGCTGTCAGTCAATACATGGAAACAAAGTAACTGGAGTTACTTATTTGAAAAAGTAACTCAGATATTTCCTTCTAAATGAAAAAGTAAGTGTTACTTGACTAGTTACTTAAAAAAGTAATCTGATCACGTAACTCGCGTTCAATACATGGAAACAAAGTAACTGGAGTTACTTATTTGAAAAAGTAACTCAGATATTTCCTTCTAAATGGAAAAAGTAAGTGTTACTTGACTAGTTACTTAAAAAAGTAATCTGATCACGTAACTCGCGTTACTTGTAATGCGTTACCCCCAACACTGCCGTAAGACCTTCATTCATCTTCGGAACACAAATTAAGATATTTTTGATTAAATTTGTGGAGAGAGTATCACAACGCATGCGCTTGCTTCCGGTTCATGTAAACAATGCGTTTCTGTGCCTTGCTCGTGGTATAGTAACCTTGCTGTCTATGGGAGGGTTTCATCAAAATTTAATCAAAAATATCTTAATTTGTGTCCTGAAGAGGAACGAAGGTCTTACGGGTTTGGAACGACATTAGGGTGAGTAATGACAGAATTTTCATTTTTGGGTGAACTATCCCTTTAAGAAACCCTATTGTCCATCCTAAGAAACAGAATAAATGCTGAATTTTTTTACAGTCTTTCTTTTTAGTCAAACTGTTTCTTTCTGTTCCTCAAAGGGTGTATGGAAAGACTTCAAGTTTTGCTGCAAGATGAAGATGACTTAGTCAGGGTCAAAACCACTGAAGTGCTTTATGTGCTTGCTTCACACAGCTTGGGAAGGTGAGTCATGCAAGAAATCAAGGGCTGACCGTTTTAGTTTGTGTAAGCTTTTGGCATGTGAATGTGCTTGGCCCCGCATAGTAGGCTATGTGTTATTTATGTCAAATTATGTCAGTATATTTCACATATTGACAGTATGTGGAGTTAGTTAAACCTTAACAATGCTTAACAAATTTATTTATAAAATACACTTGTAATATTTAAATTTATATATTTTTTATAAAAAGAAAATATGCAAGTTGAAAATATAAACTTAGATTTTTTTTAAAGATAAATGCTTTTATCCAATAAGGATGCATTAAAATGATATTTTATAATGTGATAGTTTCCACAAACATATTGAGCAGCGAACACTGTTTTCAACAGTGATAATAATAAGAAATGTTTCTTGAGCTGCAAATCAGCTTATTTCTGAAGAATCATGTGACACTAAAAACTGGAGTAATGATACTGAAAATTCAGCTTTATCTTTGCAGCAATAAATTAAATTTTAAAATGGAAAACAGTGCAAAAACATTTAACAGTAATATTGTTTTTACTGTATTTTTGTGGGGGGTTTAACACGGTCTTGATGCTTTCAAAAATGTAAAGTAAAAGTTTGTTGTTTCCAGTAAGAAAAATTTTATTTTTTGCCTAAAGAATATTTCAGAGCATTTTATATTTAATATGGAGGGGATATTTTTAAACAACACTAAAATACCTGCAAGAGAAGTGATTTTTGCCATTTTGCCTTTTGGCTTCCAAAAATATTCAGTATATAGATATGTTTGTTCACACAGAGATGCCTTTTTGAAATTTGACATTGTGGGTCCCCTCGCAAACCTGATTGAGGACCCTGTGAATGCCTGTCGTAAAAACGTGCACCAAGCGCTCAACAGGATCGCCGAATTTCCATCAGGTGACTAATCTTATACTCCTTATACAGAAAATGTGTTTCAGAAGCTTTTCTTTTGATGAGTCCTCTGTCATGTCCCTACAGGAGCAGTGTTCATGGTGTCTATGGGGCTGGTGCCCAAACTGGTGCTGAAGGTCTCAGATGAAGAAGAGAGCATCCGTGCTTTAATTCTCTCCACACTGAGCTGCTGTGTGAGTGTGAACGCCCTTCCTGCGCTGGAGAGTGATGCAGTTCCTGTCCTGAGAGATCAGCTGTCTCACCCCTCCCCTGCCATCCGCCAGGCAGCCACATCTGCTTTAGTGGGAATCAGGTAGGTAGCATAGCACATAACAGTCTAGATCAGGTTAAGTTCACTAGGGTGAGAGATCAGAGCAGATATTCTTTTAAAATAAAAAGCATGCATTTTTCTCCTTTCCTCTCTTAGTGTGCCTGCAGATGGGAAGATGAAGGTGTGTGAGGAGAATCTTCTGCCCATATTAGTCAAGCTGCTGTCGGATGATGAGCAAGGAGTTGTCGCTAATGCTGCAGGAACCATTATGAACACGGCCGTTATCACTAAGGGTCAGCACAAAATCAAGTTTCAGCGTGCATTTTTGTAATTTATGAGTTGATGGTGAAGTCAGAAACTTTTCAGCATCTATTATAGTGCTGTATGTAAAAATTAAAGGGATAGTTCACCCAAAGATGATAATTTAGTCATGCCAAACCTGGATGACTTTTTTGATTTTGTGGAACATAATTGTAGATGTTTTCATTGTCAATTGTTGCCTACATTCTTCAAAATATGGTCTTTTCTGTTATAAAATAGAAAGAAAGTCATACAGAGTCATGAAGGTGAATAAATGATGAGAGAATTTACATTTTGGGGTGATCTACCCCTTTAAAACCTCTAGATGGGGTTGATGTTAGTTATATGCTCATACATTAGATCTGGGGTTTTCAGATTTTTGATGCCATGGACCTACAAATATGATTGGTCACCTCGCAAGAAGGGACCCCCTAAAGGCAGCTAGATATTTTCAAGTATAAGGACAAAAATGAAAAACAGAAATTGAAAATTAGGTGCTCATCCTGAAAAGTAGAGGAGATTCAACTCAAAAAGTGAGAAAATGTAGAAAAACTGGCAACACTCACTTTACAACAGTGTTATTTTAGTATCATGAGATACTATTATAGTTTTTATTAATAATTTGAATACATTTTTATAAATTTTATTTTTATTTTATTTGTAAAGTTGTAATATATTTTGTGAGTTTTTTCATGTTTATAATTTAAATTTTTGTATTTATTTATTATTATTTAGAATTATTTTAGAACATTTAAGTTGAACTAAATGAAAATAACACGTTGCCTTGGCAACTAGCTGAAATAATTTTTTTATATTTCATTTTATTTTAGTTAAAGTTTAGGTTAAAGTTAATTTGTAAAACTATAATAACCCTGGTCTACTTAATTTCTTTAAGGAACACACACTATTTATTCACTCATACACTTATTTATCTAACACACACACTCAGTCTACATTTCAATTTGCACATAATATACCTGTACATACAACTGTCTATTGTTATATACCTGCACATACAATTGTCGATTTGTATATTTTTATTCCTTATTTTACTTGTTTTATTTTTTATTTATTTAGATTTTTTATTATCTGTGTTTTTTTGTTCCGTCACTGTCATTCTGTTGCACTGTGGAAGCTTCTGTCACGAAAACAAATTCCTCGTATGTGTAAACATACCTGGCAATAAAGCTCA